AATGGTGTTTGCAAAATTTCAAAACGATATCTTAAAAACTGAGGGACTAGTTCGTATATATACAGACAGACGGACAGACGGACATGGCTAAATCGAATCAGCTCAACATGATCAACTGATCATTTATATATATACTTTATAGGGTCTCCGACGCTTTCTTCTGGGTGTTACAAACTTCGTGACAAAATTAATATACCCTGTTAAGGGTATAATTAAGATTACAATAATAGTAACGATCATAATTATGATTACATCAATTGTAATTTTGAACATTCTACGATTACAATAAATTGCATAATTTAAGATATATATTATTTCATAATTAAATATAAGATCATGAAATCAAAAATTATGATTACAAGAATCGTAATGATTATAATTACATGACAATTACTTTTAAAAATTCGATGATTTCAAGTGCCTGTAATCAAAATCATATAATTTTTATTTTTTATTTGCAGTAAATACAAAAGAATAATGATTACAAAAAAAGTAATGTAAATATTAACGCAATCCTCACTTAAAAATCAAATAAAACAAGCTGTGGAATCAATGCAAAAAGGATTTCAGAAAAAATTACTTTACCTTGAATTCTGTTGGTGCTTATTGCTGTACGACGACGGCATCATACGACACTTCACCACACGATCGAGTATCTTCAGGTGCCATGCAGTGAATTGTGCATGCAACATATCGCGTTCGTCGGGCGCCAAGCCGGGATTTAGCGCCGCCAAACGCCACAACACCACAATCTCGTCGCACAGCGAGCTACATGCATGCTGGAGGGCTGTCGAATTCGAATGTGTGTTCGAGTGTTTGCCACCGCTATGCCCATGCGAGCCCATCATCAGTGATAATTTCGTTTGGAACCACCATATCAATATTTGATCGCACACCATACACTCCTCGGTGATGATCTCCAACAGGCGTACAGCATTACGATCACAACGTCTATACATTTCACGTACGATTGATAATAGATTCCACATGCCCTCGGGTTCACGTCCACGTAACGGACGTAATAGTGAACTCCATTCGGCAGCCGCCGGTGGGGCGGAGTTTGTTAAATAATTTACATCGCTAAAGGCATAAGAAAGTAAGAATAAAAATAAGTATGGGAGAGAGAGGTCTGTAATGGCATTTCAACTTACCTAAAAACTATGGGTGCCGGTAGGCAGAATTTAATTAAAATACGCTTAATATTAGCATGCAATGTCTTTTCATCCAAATACCAACTAGTCTGATCGTGTACAGAAGCACCAGCTGTCGGATCAGGCGCACCGCACACTGTATTTATGGCAGTGGGCTGTGAGCTGAGCAGCTCATCGAGCAAACGTTGCGCTGTTGGTAGTATTTGCTGCGGCAATTCGCTGATTAAATATTGCGCGAATTTTTGCAATTGATCGCGTTGTAGGCGCGTCAATGATTCGGAGACAGGTGCACGTAAACATACTTCTAGGGGCTGCACGAAAAACAAGAAATTGCATAAAATTATTATTTATAACTGTTAAATGCGGTAAATTGCGGCTGACTTACATTATGAATTCTATGTAAACAGACTGCGACCACGTGCGAGCACCAATAGGCAGGCGAGGTGCAAGTGCAATTACACGACGAGATGCGCCTACGATCGAAGGTGACGGCCACATTGAAGTGGGCACGTGGCGTTTGACCAACTACAGTGGCGGATAAATGAAAACCTGCGCGCAAAGAAAATGAAAATTAATATATAGCTTATGGCATACACTACAGCTGAATATGTATGTATGTATGTATGTATGTACGGTACCAATTTGTAGTGTGTCTTTGACGGCGCGTGTCTTGAACAGCTGATCGCCGCGATTAAATTCATCCGCTGAGCTATTAGCCAAGCACGAGTACAGGCGTATATCCTCTTCATTGTCGGGGAAACTCCAAAAAGCAATGCGCAACTGCAATTGTTCCGGTACGGGCGGATAGACGTGTTCGACCAATTCGAAGGGGATATATGAAGCGACGCAGCGTGCAGCAAGTTCTGTAAGTGAAGAAACATCTGAAAGAAGAAAATCGAAATTTTTAAATTAGTAAGGCTTAAAATGGGCAATAAAGCGTTTTTAAACTTTTGGGGCACAAAATAAATATTTGGAGGTTGGGTAGAATCGGAATAAAAAAAAATTTATATTATACTAAATAACGAACGATGCGACACCACAGCGGATTGGTTTTGGATTTGCGCAGGAAATGTGTTTTAAAACCGTAAAAAGATAATTTTTTTCAAAAAAAAAAAAAAAACATGAAAAACAGAAATCTCAACACAGCGCCATCTATCATCTTCGATACATAAACTTAGTTAAAGACAAATATTATTTTTAACACCATCTATCAAAGGATTTATGATTTATGATAGGAACGGAATAATCAGTTTTAAAAACAGTAAAAACTAAAATTCTTTTCCGAGAAAAATCTTTGAAAAACTGAAAACTCACCTCAGCGACATCTACTATCTTCCAACACATAAACTCAGTATAAGAAAAATATCATAATTTGTATAAAAACAATCTCAAAATTATTTTAAAAAAATTTCAAGGTAAAAATTTTTATACCGGATTTCGAGCAGTTGGAAAACTAAGTGCGACACATTGCCAAACTACAAAAGATTTGGTTGTCTCAAGGTGTAGCAAATAACCGTGAACACATCAAACGCAAGCAGCGACAAAAGAACAACGGTAAACAAAAGGAGTTAATTGCACTTTGCATTCACAATTCCATACAGACATAGGTTCATATGTTCGGCGGAAATTTTTAGCTCTCCACGGTCAAACGCTTATTCATGCCAATGACTTATTTGCTAAAAATTTACAAACAAGCGCGTGTATAATATCATCAGTAAATAAAACGTATGTACATGTGTGTCTCATATACACAAATAGGGCTATGTGTAGATGAATGTGTGGCATATGCAAGGGTAGTGATACAAGGCATTCGTGCCACGCGGCTGTCAGCTCCAGTGGATGCCTCAACAAACAACCAGAGGTCGTGTTGATTCTTTCATAAAAAAGGCACAAACCTACAAACGGTTTCGGAAACGTGCTTGCACTCGCACATACACATGTACATACATATTATACTTACAAATGCACAAGTGTGTGTTGCACTGTCAATCGATTGGACACTTGCACATGTGCGATTATTTCTCATACTTGCCAGCTTTTTATAGTTGTTAATGCTAAGAGGGCAGTTTGAGAGATCTGTGATTCAAAAGAAAATAAAATAAAAAAAAATTTCAGCGTATTTTTTTAATTATCGGAGTATCGCCACAGACTTTTTTAAGGACATTCTATACCCTGCACCAAAAAGAGTCAGAACACTCTTATGAGTGTGAAAATTCGAATCGTCAAAAATACCAATATATATTTTTTTTTGAAAATATCGATACAATTTTCAAACATATCGATACTTTTTTTCAAAAATATTGTGAAATMTAAATGCAATAGAACAAGTGWATGCGCTTCTTGTCAATTTTAGTATTACATTTAATTAATTAATTAATTTAATCAATATTAATATTATTTTTAGGAAAATTACTTATTATATATATATTATACTTATTTTTTAAATTTATCGAATATTACCAATATTTTTTTAGAAACTATCGATTTTCAAATTTTTTTGTAACAAATTTTTGTGTAACTCCTCTATTCATGTGTGATGGGTAAAACAATCGGCGAACTGCAGAAAAACAATAATATGAAAAACATATCGATAACATTATTGAATTTCTTTTATTATTACTAGAGTTACTAATAAATTCTACAATAGTTCTATATTTCCAATATTTACCCGAAAATTTTCTGTTATCTCTTATCCGCTATAGAAAATTATCGATAATTATCAGAAAATTGATAACATAAATAATCTCTATTGCCTATAGAAATGTTACTAAATTTTTGCATATCTTCTATGTTCATGGGTGATGGGTAAAGCCATCGGCAATCTTCAGAAAGACAATAATATCGATAAGTTCCTGAGTTTCTTTGATTATTACTAGGGCTATTAATAGTTTTACTTTTCCAATTTTTTCACATAAATTGTCTCTTGTCCCTTGTCCACTATAGAAAGTTATCGATAATTATCAGAAAAGAGTTAAAGATATATATCGATTGCTTATCGAAATGTTGCCAATAACAGAGATAACAGAAATATTGGTGCTATCAATAGTGTGGCACCTCTAGCTACCATTTTCAGAAAAACAATAGTATAAAAAATATGTATATCGACAACATCAAATTTTGGTTAACAGTATTATTCATAATAATTCAACACCTCTAATATTTAGCATCAAATTTCCAAGAGCAAATGCTAATAGAGGAAAACTATCAAAAATATTGATGTATGTATATAATGCTACGAACAAACATACGTACATATATCGATAAATTCATTGAGTCATCCTGTTTAAGGATAAGAGCATTATTTCTAGTGTCATCAATGGTTTTCAAAATATCTTTCCCATAAATTGTGTATTTCCACATGAATATCGGGTTATCGCTAATTATCAGAAAATCGATAACATAAAATATATCGAGTTCTTATCGAATTTTTAGCTAGTGACATTAGTATTATTATTGCCTTTAGCACTAACTCTTACTTTCTTACCCACAAATAGAATGTTTCCACAAATGTGTTATCGATAATTTTCAGAAAACCAATAACATAAAATATATCGAGATCTTCTCGAATTTTTAGCAGTGGCATTAGTAATATTATTGCTAGTCGCAATAATTTTTATGCGTTTTCTAGTAAGATGATCACCATCAACATCCCGAAAAACTTATTGTAAGAAACCTGTAAGGACCTGGCCCCTTCGTGGACATAATTTTACATGCACAAATAAGAACCCTTTGACTAATCTCATGCGAAAAAGATCATGGTCTAAGCATGGTGAAGCTCATCAAATGGTCGCACAGCCAGGATCTTCTATAAGGACAACGCTGGACCACACACATCTTTGATGACTCTGCAAAACCTGAGAGAGCTATAGCCCTGACCTTGCACCATCAGACTTCCACTTGTTTCTGTCAATGCAGAACTTCCTTCATGGTGTAAAGTTGGCTTCAAGAGAAGAATGTGAAAATTGTCGAATGTGAGTTTTTCGCCGAAAAACCAGAGAGGTTTTACACTGATGCAATAATATCTCTAGCTGAAAAATGGCAAAAAGTGGTCGACCAAAATTGTACATACTATAAACACGAAAAGACGTTTTGGACTACCCATTATTGATGTAAATTGGATTTACTCCTTTTGTGAAATTATGAAACTGCCAACTGTTACACTCCCATATATACATACATACATAAACCGTTTCCACGTCAGTTGGGCCTAAATAATCGGAACGGACCCGGATTTTTATCCGGCCTAGGACTGTCAACCCGGCACCATGCCTCGAAATTCCTTCGGCTTACCGCTGCAACAACAACTTTCACATTCTTCAAATGTTCATTGGCATTATCTAGATCTATCGTTTCAAAACCGAAAAATTTTCATATTAATTTTAGGTGTCCTCTCTATTTTATCACTTCATTGACAATGCAAAGTTAATTACACTTCTTATAATTGCTACCTTTAACAACCCTGTCTGTTTTTATAAACTAAGCCAACTGTGAACTTTGGTTTCGGTTATTAATGGATGACAGTTGACAGCTGCAGTGTTGCATTTGAGGTTAGGGGGAACTTCAAAAGTCACTGACTTAACCGACAGCCTTTGTAAGTAGTTGATTGTTGTTCTTTATTTTGCACTTTTTAATGTAATATTTGGTTTTCAGTTTTTGGTTATGTTGACACGACAAGTTTTGAAGATAACAAACGTGCGACAGGCAACAACACGAAAGCGGACAGACAACAAGAATAACGAACAAAAAAGCAATAACCGGTAAAGCAGTCAACTAGTCAGTTGGCCGAAACGTCAAGCAGCCGGACAGTTAGTCAACAAGGTAACACAAAAGACAGACAACAAAAACAAAAACAACAATAGCAACAACAACAATGTAAGAATGTACTATGCGCAGTGTAACTAACAACCTTTAAGTGGCACGCAATGTGGTTGTTGAATGTTGTTGCCTGTCTATCTGCCATCCAAAAGCCAAAACAAGCAACAACGACGAAGCGATAAACATTCGAAGCGGCGCCGAAGGTAGAGGAGAACGGGCATATAAAATTGAGATGGCACAGCAGAACAAGGGCAGGCCAACCACCGACACAGGCAACCACCAGGCACTTTGCAACGAGCGTAAGTGCGCCAGTTTCGAGTAGTTGGCCGACAGGATTGGCCAAGTGAGAAGCCGACGGAGGGGAAGGAGCGCGGCGGCAGAGCGGCAAAATAAAAACATAGTGCAACAGCAAGCGTACTGAGGTGGAATGGGGTGAGTGAGCGAATATGTGGCACTTGCAAACAGGTGAAGCTAAAGGGCCAGCTGGGAAGGAAACGGGGCAGGACGAGATCAACACGACCTGCTGCTTGGCAGTGAGTAAGTGATACTTTAGGAACAAGCAATTGCCTGAATTATACGTGGAGGCATGCGGACGGACGCACAGATAGACAGCCAAACAAACAATAAGCGGTGGTCTTGACTTGTCTTCCGCTGGTAAAAATGTTGCATTGCTTTGCATCGGGCAACAGTTGTCGGCGGAGTTTATCAAATGACCGGAAAAAAGGTTTTACTTCATTGTAGGTATTTATGCAGTTTTTGTGTTATGTGGTTGCTCGCCCCTGCCTTTACGGCACAACGTCTTTCATTGGAAATTAATAATAGAGCATTTTACACTCAAGTGTCATTTAGCTTACGGACAGTGCCAAGTTTCTGGGAACGTATATTTTTGCGCGCAAGGAGATATAATTATATTTGTACGGTATTTTTCCATGAACAGTTAGAAGTAGCTAATTTTTTTGACCCTATAATATAGTAATATCAGTAACTTTCTCAAATTAAGTTCGAGGATCTATAGGGGGTCGCGTTAATTAGAAAAGACACCAAAGACAACAAAAATTATAGACAA